AAAAAAAAAAAAAAAAAAAAAAAAAAAAAAAAAAAAAAAAAAAGAGAATGAAACAAAATGTCCCCGATAATTATCTTTATACCTTTGGATAAGGCATTGATTATTCCACCGCTACATTTTTCTTGTTGTACAAATCCACGTATAGTTGGTGTATAGTTGAATATGAGTGAACAATATTTCCGTTTTATCTTTACCTTATTTGGTCATATAATTAACGTAATCAGTGAATAACAATCATGTGTTTCCCTTCTGCTCTTTGGCAGATGAAAAGAAACTGGACGAAGTGTATCTGGAAACAGAGAGAAACCGACAAATGCTCACTCAGATTCTTCTCAGAACCGTCAACAATCAGAACTTCGATCTGCGTTCACGGGATATAGACCCACAGGTTAAATATTAAGTATTATCTCTTTCTTAAAAGTAGTAAGTTCTTTTGAGAGGAAATTCAACATTTAAATGAGCGTCCGTGTCTTCATCAACAGTTTACGAATTCGTCGATAATATGTGCTTTCAAAAGCACTGAACTGTGATTTTACCTTCTCAAATACTCTAAGTAACAGGCGTAGACACATGGTGGAATTACTGCTACGGTCGTATATGGAAAACAATCTCAAAGGATAGACATATGAAAAATTGTTAGTCTTATTGTTTTTCCTAGGAATGGGACGTTGATAGAGGTATAAATGTAAACGGCAATGTTTTGACTTGTGAAGGAGTCGAAGATTACAAAACTGAGGCTGATCCAGATAAATGGGTGTTTGGTGCAAGATATACTCATCCACTATGCCCGGAATTTCCTCATTTTGAGGTAAAAATATTTTTTACGAGCTTGTGTCTTGAACGTATGATTCGCACAAAAGACCAAATGTTCCTTGGTTATGACAGAGGGTTAAAAAAGATGAGGAAACTGTCTTATTCACAGGCTGATTGGCTAGCATGAAACCTAAACTTACCCCTCTGCAAGCGCCGGGATAAAAATGTACAATTTTTTTTTTTTTTTTTTTTTCAATCTCGGTTCCTTAGCATGAAAATCTAGCCATTTTAACCATTTAGATGGTCGCGTAATTAGTGTTACATTATAATCGTAGGTTTTGATCTTAGAAGCAGGAATAATGAGGCGGTTGGGAATTGGGATAGTGACGAAATCTTACAGCAAGTCTTTAATGCCTGGCTGGCGGGATGGAACTGTAGGATATCATATTAATCATGGAAAAATCTTCGATGGGAGTCCCATGGGCAAAGAAACAAAAGATACGATCACTTTTGTAAGTGTAACAATTGATATAGCTGCGAAGGGTCCATTAACCTCATCTTCCTTTGTTAACTTTTGAAAGTCAACTTTTGAAAGTCTCAAAGTAAAGGTAACAAGAGTGCACATAGGAGAAGGAGAACTAAATTTCTGTAAAACTTTTCCACCGGCTCTATTTTTTGTGCGTTCTCACTTGCTAATGCTAGGTTCTACATGTGTATATCAGTAAATTTGTGTTAAATTGTGCATGAAAGAATCCTGAATACTTTTTCACAAGAAAACTAAACTAATAAGGCTATTAAGAATCAAAGCTTTTTAAGCATAACTCTTTCAGTACAGTACTCAAGAGTCACTGGGGCATCACTATGTTTAAGTTTATTTCCCCCATATGCTGCAATAGAGAAGTTTTAAACTGCTTGTGCTAGTCTTTTCAGCTTTATTAAGATAAAAGGATAATGTGGTTTAAGTTTTGTTTTTTGTGCGAATTTTAAATTACAGAAGCATTAGTAATAAAACATTTCCCCTATACAGGGTATGCAATGGCTTTCCGGGGAGATTTGATTCGTTGCACAGTGGTGTTTAAAGATGCAAAGAAAATGAATGATGCAGAAGTGCGCGTTCCAGTGGTGTTCACACTAAACGACAAGAGAATAGCTCCCGAAGGACCAGAAGAAGAACTTTTTACTCATTACGACCCTAATGGTCAAGGACTCTTCCCATACATCGCCATGATGGATAAAGGATGCTCCGTGTTGGCCAAGGTAACGTTCACTTGTCGTTTACGTCAGTCTGTAGTTACATCAGGGTGCTTAAATGATGTTGTGTTTTCGCTTCCATAATATAAACAAAAACGCTTGCTTAATTGTGAAGTCAACCTCAGTAACTTGAAATTTGTGCAACATACACCGAATGCAAATATGGCGGACCGCTCGGTTGTCGCCAGGGACGAGTCACATGCAAGCGAGGCTAGTCAGGTTTTGATGTTTTGTTTTGACAGAAAAGTCTTGCTTCGCCGTCGATCTGGTCTGTCCTTGTTTCGCCCTCACTATAAATTGTTGTGTTCCTGAATCCCACCAGAAGGAATTGAAATCTTCCACAGCAGAGAAAGTGTTTTTTT